GTTATTCTGATACAGTTTGTGTCTGTCTACAAATAAATATTCAGGGTGAGATCTGATAGTGTAACATTTCTTTTTTATATTGGCCTATTTATACCCTTTCAGTTTGGCAGCAGCTCTGCTTTGATAACACTGGTTCATGAAATAAGTCCTCTTCATCTGTGTCAATGAAATGCATAGGTTGATTAAAATTATGTGGACCTAGGTCCACAAAAATTGTTCCTCTCAGACGGACATCCCAGTGTACATCTGCTTCACTCAGGCTCTTGCTTTGGCAACAAGTAGCTGACCATCAGCAATCATTTGTGTATTGTGTTACTGCAGCAGTGGGGATATATCTGACTATGGAGACCATATATTAAGGATTACCCCTTAATCCTTTCCTGGTAGACAGAGTGGCAGAATGGATATCAAGATTCCTGGGTTCTATTCGCATCTCTGCTACTGACTCAAAGTGTGTCCTTGGACAAGTCACTTACAGTGCCTAGACAATGGGAGGAGTTAGGTGCTTTTGAAAATGCCACTATTAGGGCCTGATTTTCACATGAACTAAGCGCTCACAACTTCAGCTGAAATCACTGGAAACTGCAGGTGCTCAGCATCTTTGCAAATAAGGTTCTTACTGAATATCTGCCTTATTTTCCCTATCTGTCTGACGGGTGTTGTAAGGCTTAATTAATTACTTTTTTTCTGTTTGCATAGCACTCTGATATATTTGGATGAAAAACACTATACTGTATAAGTGCAAAGCAGTGATGTTGTTCCGGGACCCAAACGGAAAGATTTTACTTGCAACGTAGAATATCTTTCATATGCCCATCAGTAAGTAGTGTATGCTGAATTTGTCTGTTCTTGATGGCCAGATAAATGAAACCACTTGCAATGAAAAATAAAAGTTTTGAACAGAATACATTTCAATGTTTCAAATTCTATATATATAGTATTACATGTAGTAGCTCTGTGTGTGTGTGTGTGTGTATATACACACATAGAGCTACTACATGTAATACTATATATATAGAATTTGAAACATTGAA